TAAATATGCTTTTCTTGAGTTCCAGAGAGACAGTGTCTCACTGTGTACTTCAGACTGGCTTTAACTTCATTACGTAGCCCAGGCTGACCTCAAAATTGCAATGATCCTCCTGCCTCAGCCTCCTGAGTGCTAAGATTACAGGCATGCCCTACTATGGCCAGCAGCAATTTCCTCCTCAACCTGTAGCATTTTCATTGTTCCTTTTGGCACCAAGGACTATAAAAGCAATTACTATCACTAGAGGTCCAGTTCAGAAGACTTGGTGTCAGGTACACATGAGGCACTTAGGTTGCAGCCACAAAGTCAGGGAGAATTGCAAGCTCACTTCAAGATGAGTACAAGGTGAATTTTAACAAAATTGTGCTTCTCCTTTCTCCATCATCTTTACATGAGAATTTTTATGCTCTATGGGTCCCCACCTCCTTCAAGTGTTATGTCATGGGTGTCAGTAACCTTAAACAACCCATAAACAGCATTAAGTCTGCAGATTCACACTCCACCTTGGATTCCTCACCTAATTAACAAAAGCTGTCACAGTTTATTATCCTAATATAACCAATAATAATCTCAAGATCTAAGAATCTTAAATTTACAAGTTATTAACTATTTATTTGGCAATATATTATTAATGAGGAGCAGCCTTAGCTACAGGAATATAGAATGGATTTATGACATAGAAACCTTTCACACTTTCACCTAAAATACTTGAAGAGTTTCTGATGGCAACAGAATTTCATCCAGGGAAGCAAACCTTATCAGAGAAGACTGAAGTTCTGTGAACTTCACAGAATACTGCGTCAAGTCACAGCAGAATGAAAGCTACTTTCTATGGCAGAAGTATAAAAAGTGTTACAAATTCAGTACATAAGTAAAGACCAATTTAATACATAGATGACTGTGCTATTCAAGGTATTTCTAAAGGACCTGTGATACATACTCTAAAAGTACTAGATGTCTTTCTAGGGTTCGTAGTGCTAATTTATGGCAGAAATTAGGGTATTTATTTATTTATTTATTTATTTTTGTGATACTCTTATTCTACTGAGCTATGTCTGTGGCCCTCAGGGCAGAAATTAAGTGAAAAGAAGTACATCTTAGATTTTCATAGTGTGTCCAAAGAAGAAGGTGTTATTGCATCATGTTCTTTCTGTGATATTCTCTCTGTGTAAAGGAATTGAAAATGTTGGTACCTAGTGAATGTTCACTTGTCTGTAAATTATAAACTAGGTCCACAGTTGCCTTTATGTATTATAGTCCTCTATCCCAAGAAAAAATACCTCACTTTCTGAGAAAATACTATTATGAACACATGTTCAGTTAACATAAGGTCTGTCACAATCCTCAAATCACACATGGTAATAATTTTCCATAAACTTTCCAGATGATTAACAAATATGCCAGCATTTTAATTGCTGAGAAAATAATTTTCTTATACACCTAATACATGAGATAATATAAGAAACATTCCATTATTTCTCTCTGTAATAAAACATCAGCCTATATCTCCTTATGAGATTTCTTTATCATTTCATTTAACAAAAAAAAAATGTTTTGAATTAGAAATGGGTAATGTTGCAGAAAATCTACCACTTTGAAAGACATTACATTCAAGATGCTCATTTCAAATGATGATAAGGACAAAATAACCCATAAAGGAGCCACCTTAGAAAGGTGTCAGAGCCCATAATGCAAATGTCTCTTGGGAATCGTAGATGGGATTTGTCTACAAGAAGATAATCCATGAGCTGAAGATGGGGATACTTAAATTGAACATTTAAGAGTGCTGTAGTCAGAGGAAACTGCCCTTATAAATGTAAAATGAGAATGAAGTTGGGGCAGTTGAAAAACAATAAATAAATGACGCTGAGAAATCGGCATCTTAGGTGGGTTTGCATTTTATTACCATATGGCAAAACAAGTGAAAAAAGTAGGTTAGTAACCACTTTTACCAAAGAGAGAACGGAAAACAAAATTGACTTTAGAAAAGGATACATCTACAGCTGTAGAGGAAAGTATACTACACGTGGGTTATATCGTATTCCACTGAGGAGCACCTTGTTCTAGAGAACTTCGAGGTGATCAGTGGCCTGCAGCTGCAGAGCTCAATGCTCCTGGCTCTGTAAATGACAGTGCAGTGGCGTTGGGGTGCAAAAGCTTTGTCTTGGTCCCGATCATGAAAATGAGTCAAGCCAAGTCTGAGCAGGACCAGTCACAGGCTTTGGGAAGTTAGAGGCACTCAGGGGAGGTCCGATAGAAAAATAGCCATGTGAGGCAGGTTGCTCACACCAATCCATGACCACTGGGAGGAAGAATCTCTAATGCAATCAAGGAGTGGAGTGGGAATCTAGGGGTTTGCAACGTAGGCTTGTTGTGCAAAGAAAATAAATCATTATGGAAAGATTAAAAGTAGGTGGAAAACTAAGCTCTCAGGTGGCTGAGTATTACAGCAGTGAAAGGTGCAGAGTGGAGAACTCATTTCATAATGTGGAGTCCGCTAATCTGGGCATAGGGTGGCAAGGTCAGGTGGTGTGCAGGAGAAGAGGGCTGTACTCCTTTTCAGATATTTTAAAACCTAACCTAAGTGCACACTCCCTTCAATCTGCATTGAAAAATTGTCTTGCCTAAACTGTATTTACAGAAGATTCATCTCAGTGGTCATTATTTTAAAGATCTGAGTTCAGCCATTACTCAAATTCAGACTTCTCTAGCATACATATGCATTAGGCCATTCCCAGACCCCAGTTTTAGATTCCAGCTCTAAGAGCAGCCAGGATGAAATGCAGTAGATTCAGCACATGCCGCCACTCCCTATGTGATCTGAAGATGGAAAGCCTGCAGCTCAAAGCTGTATAAATTCCAGCACTCAGCCGAAACACGTCTGACTCGGGCACATTACTCTTTCTCCTGCCTCACTGTACTTTTTCAATGAGAAAATATTTACAAAGCTCAGTGCAATCTGGATTATTTAGCTCCTAACTGAGCAGTGTTGTTGACCTGGGACTGTGGAGAGAAAGAGAAGGATCCCTCCAGACCGATGCAGTACCCCAAGAGGGAGTAATTAGAACCATGACAGCTTCCCTAATCAGTTTGCAATACATTTCATTTACTGACATGCAGGAGTAAAATTTTCTTTTGAGGTTTCTTAAATTATTTATTCCAAACCTGCAGATCCCTTCTTATGTGTCAAGAATTGTGTTGACTGTTGGAAAATTAGACATGTGTGCGTGTATATGTACATATAATTACACAAAATTGGTGATAATATATAATGGAAAATATGCAGTCAATAATACAGTGAAATAGAAGAAAAGCAATGACCTGAACATCAAGGCAAACATATCAAAGGGCCGTTGAGTAATATTGGGTTTTTTTTTGGGGGGAACCAGGGACTGAACTCAGGCCCGTGTGATTGCCAGGCAAGCGGTTATTCTATTGAGCCATCTCCCCAGCCCCTAGAGTAACATCTGGATTCCTAAATATCATCATTGAACCTGGACTCCTCCTGCCCACCTAGCAACACTCTTCTACTCTTAGTCCTTACTAGCTTCTCATTTCATTTTAGACAACTCAGCAGAGCAAGAGTAATGAGACGGCAATGCATGCCTGTGCTGTTATCAGTACAGGTACATTCTCTGTGGGTTGCATCCCTAATGCTTGTCTCTTCACCCGAAGGGAGAGATTTCTGAATGGGCACTGCATGAGTAAACACTCCTTGAAGAAAGGTGACCAGGGCCAGAAAACACAGTGGCAAGCTCTAGGCTCCAAGTGAACTGTTCAGAAGTGGACCAGTGAGGAAATACTACATAGGCAAGTTTGCTTCATGAACTTATGTTCCTGGGATAATACACAGAATGCCTTTGTTTGCCTAGCTTTCTTTTGTATTTCTATTTTTGTTGCAGAAGAGGAAATCAGATCCTGCTGCCTCAGTGATGTGTGCATACACCAAGAACAAAAGGTCCACGTGTGCCCATTTGTCCCTTGACCTAGGCCCCATCATTTATGGCTTTCTTCTCTTTCATGATCAAAAGGCAACATCCCATGTTCTATGTGGATGTTCGCATGGAATTCATCAGTTCCTGTCCTAAATACTCCTTAGCTACTGGTTTCCCTAAAAGTGCTGTATCTCTCATCAGTTTAGTAACAGGAGATTTTTGTACCATCTGCAATCCGTTTTTGATTAACCTTTCTAGCGTGTAACAATTTGTAGTAGTAGAAGAGGGGAATGATAGAACTTAGAGGCAACAATCAACCTTCAGCCTACCCTGTGGCCTAGGTCTGAAGTCTTGTCAAAACTCTGACTTTTGTTTATGCATAAATGATATCAATAAGGTCAGTTTCACAGATTTTTAAAAACATCACATTATTCCTTGCATATGAAAATAAATGGATTATTGTGATCTACACACATAAGTAAATATTTCTCTTCTTAGTTCTGATTAAATACTATTACCTGGGACTGGGGAGATAGGTCAGCATAAGCACCTACCTACCTGGCAAGCAGAAGGTCCCAAGTTCAATCCCTGGTACTGCAAACAAACACACAAACACCCCACTTAATGCTATTACCTGAGAAGGTGCATAGAACTGACAGTTCTGTGAGAGACACATTTTGTTCTTCTGGTGTCATTGGGAAATAAAGCAATCTAAGAAACAGAGGGGACTTGAGGACCATTCTTTTGCACCAAATCATCTTGATTGAAGCAGTTGAAGTGAACAGAAAGCTTTATCTCTAAATCTTGATCTTCAACATACATTGTTGAACACATTAGCTCTTAGAAACAGATTGGTTTTAAATTAAATAGTATATTGCAATAAATTCATAGCTCATGTAATTACATTTGAAAACTGGTAGATGTTAGCATGTGTGGAGTAGGGTAGGAAAACAGAAGTAGGAAAAGATCACAGCCTAATGGGAAGCACTAATTTCTCTCTCTCTCCCCCTTCCCTCCTTCCCTCCCCCTGCACACTTCTCTCCCTCTCCCCCCCCCCCACCTCCCCAGGAGTCACAGATGAAAGCAATGAAAGAGACTGTGCAACTCTGCCTGACTTCAGTCTTCCGCGACCAACCTCCGCCTCTGAGTCTGATCACCTCTAACCCAGCCCAGCTGTCCCTCCCCCCCAAGACAATGGCAGGGAAGATTCCAGACGCCAGGACAAAAAGCCAGGTACATTTCATCCAGACTTGGAAGGTGATGCTAAGTGCAGCCCAGTCTTTGGAAGGCCATTCTGTATGTCCTAGATGAACCATGCCAGGACATAAAGTTCACTGAAGGGTGTAGAAGGATCTGGAAGTCGCTCAGTTTGAGAAGCCTGGTCATAACCAGAGAGCACTGGAAGGCCGTGTTTTTACAGTAGTCTGGCTTTACAGCCAGGGTCATATAATTGTTTAAATGATAACAAAATGGAAAAGTAGTTAAAATATACTATTTTGTATTACATTTCACTATGAAACACAGGTTTGATACTTTTGGGTACGGATGTCATCTTTATAAAACATTCTTCAAAAAATTAAGTTGATGGGGCCTCGGAGATGGCTCAGTGGAATAAGCGCT